GCCCTCTAAATGACCCTGGTCACTAGCAGACAAGCCACTAGCGGGTATCTGGCCTCATTTTGCCTAGGTCTCCTCTGCTTTGGCTGGGTGTGTTTATGGGGTACACGAAGGAAGGGAGACTTTGCAGCACTGCTTTGGGAAGGAGGAGTGCAAAATGGACAGCAGCAGCTATTGGTTCTTTGTAGGGCAGATCTTGATGAGCCCTCTAAATGACCCTGGTCACTAGCAGACAAGGATGGAGGGGAGATTCACATGGTGTCACACTAGGAGAGAGATTCCCTTTTCCAGCACTAGCTACAGTTCTGTGGATCAGTCTGTTCTGCATCCCTGGCAATTCTCTCCTCAGGCTTGTGATTTCTGCCCTAATCTTATCCTTGGTGGAACCCCACTCACTTCATAAAAAGCTCGGGGGACCAGGTGGCTCACAATGGGATTAGGAATAAGCTTTGGAACCTTTCACCTTTCATTTGGCTTCAGTGGAATTACCCCTCTGACAGATTTGCCCTGAAAGGTATATTTTCAATCTCTTCTATTATATTTTGAAAAAGGCTCTGGGAAATAAAACTGCTGACTTGCAAAATATGTTGTGCCAAAGTGGCAAATGTTTACGTGGCTGTCACACAAATGCCATGACAAATAGCTGCGTGCGTGATGTGCCAGGTGTGGGCTGATGTTAGTCTGTGATAGCTGCAAGGATATCTTTCCCATCTGCCATGTATAATCAGGGGAAGGGTTTCCTTCCCTGCTGTGAATGAAGTTAAAAACCTGTTCTGCTAGCTGCCCTCTTTTGTGCATTTCTTTTTGCGTTATATTGTTTTTGGTGCTTTGCTGGATAGTCATGTGAGATTATACATGAGCAGATTGTCTCGAGACTGTGTTTAAAAATGTCAACTACAAAGCATGTGTGTGGTGCAGTAACATATGGCAGACGCAGCAAATAGCTACAATGACTGTGAGCAAGTGTGAGCGGGGAGTGCAGGTGGCCTGCTGCTTAGCCCTGAAAGGAAGAAGTTCATGCTTTATTTTAAAGGATGAGCCAATATAGAGAGACCATGGTAGCCCTGATGAATTCTGGGAATGCCACCATGACAAGCAGGAGCTCATTCCTGAAGCAGAAATATGATTGTTAATGTTTATTGCATAAAACCAAAGGTTCTGTGGGTAGTGCTGGCTTTTTATAGCTGCATGGGAATACCAGGGTGAGACATTTCTATATAAGGGAAGCCTGGAGCTCCAACCTCGGATTCTATTCTAGAACCCCAGCTGGTGGGAGTGTGTGGACTGCTTGAGAATGGTCTGTGCAAATGCAGAGCAGACAAGACTGTTGGAAAGGGACTTGGGGACTGTAAGGCTACATCTACATTGCAATGCTATTTTTGGATACCGGAGTATCCTAAAATAGCTATCTCACGTCTTCACAGCGAGCCCATTATTTCGGGCTCACTATTCTGACATCCCTGTAAATGTCATTCCATAAGGAGTAAGGGAGGTTTTGGAATAGTGCTTTATTTCAAAATTTGGCACAGTGTAGACAGCACCAAATGATAAAATACACTATTTTGTGATAGCATCGAAATAAGATACACAATTTACGTAGCTCAAATTGCATATCTTATTTCAAGTTACAGTGCAGTGTAGATGCACCTAAGTGACCAGAATAGACTACATTCTCATAGTCTCAGTCAATTATTTTAACAAATTAGGGTTGTAATTGTCTTGAACCCAGCTCCTTAACACTGTAAATGGCCTTCTGATGGCATTAGAATGGCCTTGGTATAGCTATTATACTGACCAGTAGAACTGTGTTGATTGAAAGTGACTTGAAGCCAAATTTGGTTTCTCTGTGCAGCTCCTGTTCATGGAAGTTTCTCTCTCAGCAATCTCCTTCATGTGTGGACTGCAAGGGAATAGCACCACCAGCCACACAGAGGTTGTGTCTAGATTGGTGCGATCTTGTGCCAAAGCAGCCGCTTTTTCGTAAAAACATGCTGCCTGTCCACACTGGTGGTGAGTTCTTGCACAAGAACACTGACGTTCTACTGTATGAAATCAGGGCTTCTTGCACAAGAACTGTGATGCTCCTGCTCAGGAATAAGCCCTCTTGTGCAACTATTGTTGCGCAAGAGGCCAGTGTAGACACGCAGCATGAATTTCTTGCGCAAGAAAGCCCGATGGCTAAAATGGCCATTAGAGCTTTCTTGCGCAAGACAGCGTCTACACTGGCACGGATGATCTTGTGCAAAAGCACAACTCTTGCGCAAAGGCACATGCCAGTGTAGACGCTCTCTTGCGCAAATACTCTAACGCAAAATCTCTTGTGTTAAAGAGTATTTGCACAAAATCTTGCCAAGGTAGACGTAGCCAGAATGTTATGGCTGGTGGTGCTATTCCGTTGCAGGCCACACATGAGATCATTCACTCTGGGGCTGGAGACGGGAGGGATGGGAGATGCTTGTTTTTAGCTTGGCCCTTTCATCTGTAGTTGGAGGCATGATGTCTTTGAGCGAGTCTGGTGTCTTTTCCAAGTAAAAACTCCCTGATTGGCTGGATTTCTATCAGTGATTGACAATGAATTCCTGTATCTACGGCTTCTATACAAACCTGTAACAGACTGGTGGGAGGGACCCAGCATGGTGAGATGAAGGAAATCTAGCATTAATTTCTCTATCAGGCAGCCCAATAAAACATCAGCTCAACGACTGAGAGACATGAGGGGGTAACTTCCTCTGTTGTATTGTTTACTTGCTGCTGATTGACTGGGAAGATCCGTCATGAGGAGAAGACGTGCTATAAGGCTGTCCAGACGAGTGAGGAGGGGCCGTCAGCCTGCGAGTTCCAAGGTCCACTCATGGTGCTGGCCCAGAACTGCGCCGTCATGCACAACCTGCTGGGGCCAGCATGCATCTTCCTGAGGAAGGGCTTCGCAGAAAACAGGCAGCCTGTACGTAAGTTACACCCTGCTGGGCAAGAACTATACAAAACACAGTGCCCACGTTGCTGCAAACGTGTTGTCACACATGTGCTTACTTACATGGGACTCTGAGATCCCCTACCCAGAGGTCACAAATGTACAGCCTCAGATATTCAAATGCAGATTTACAGATTCACCTCCGTGTTTAGGCATGTGAAGTGGAAGATGGGCAGCGATACTGTGGTACCTAGGTAGTAGACATTGTAGAAATACGCGTACAAATGGACAAATCAGTGCGCAATGAAGCACTCTCACATTCACACAGACTCAGATATTCCTGTGGAGTCCAATGTTCTAATATGACACTCCCGTGAGTCATCCAAATCCCATATAGGGAGGCTCAGATTACTACATAGGGCCTAAATGGCTACCAAGGCACCCACATTTGAAAATGGGGCCCATTAATACACAGAGGTGAGTAAGCACACTCAAGTATGCCCTGAAATGCATACCACTGACACACAAGCTCGCATTCAGACACACACCCATGCACTCTCTCATGTTTGCACAGGAGAACACATACATGCAAACCCCAAAACAGCTACTTGCAAATATCAATGCACAAACAGGTACACTCATTAATATACAGTGTATATAATACACTCAGTAATATACAGCACTCCCCATATTGATATTTCCATCCATCCAAGCACATATATGCATACATACACAGCCATTCCTGAAACCTTAAAAATATGCACTAATATACACACACAGACATGTCAAATGTACAGAGATGTGCTTACAAACTGTACATTCACAGGAACATAAAGCACATATCCCTAAACACCAGCATTTAATATCTGTTCTAAAATACACTTAAACACATTTACACTGACACCATATTATTAACACACATATATTCCTATTGATGATTAGTTGTTGCATCTTCCAAGCTCAATTAAAAGCATTTCCCCTTAGGGCAGGCATGTCCAAAGTTCGGCCCGTGGGCCAATTGCGGCCCGTGTTCCGGTTTAATATGGCCCCACAGGTAATTTGGCAATATCTATCTTTTATGGCCCCCAACGAATCCATATGTATTGAGATGAATACATTGTAAAATCTCAGTTAATGTCAGTTGGTCTAAATCAGTTATAAATATATTTGGACACAACATGTATACTTGGTGTTATGTTCCTGTTCATATTTTTTGAACTTAAAAGTTGACAGACAACCTTTATTACCAATAATATGTAATGTACTTTACAATGTTCCTGACATATATTTCAGCTTTCTGGATTTTTTTTTCCATCTGGCCTTCAGATATGATTTAACACCTGTTTAGATTTGTCATCCATGTGACAAAATGAAAAGTATGCCGTTTGCAATAACCTTTGCATAAAATAGTTAATTTGCATTTAATTTTAATGGTTCAAAGAACATCAGGCACAATGGTCGGCCCTCACGCATGTTCACTTCATCAAATCTGGCCCTCTTTGAAAAAAGTTTGGACACCCCTGGTTGTACACACTTGCATACACTCATCCAGTACATTACATGCATCTCCAGTCAAACCAAGCTCATTCTCAATGTCTGAGATTCATGGCAGTTAAAATCCATTTGTCCAGAATCCCTGCATAAAATCTCTGTTCTGTACACTCACATGTAAAGACACACTTGTTCCATAGCTGGAATAGAATCAAGGACTTTTAGTTCCAAAACCTAGTCCCCTTCCACTTGAGAGGAAAACAAGTCTCCATTAGTTGTTGCTCACTGTTAAGTTTTTATCCTCTGCTGTCCCTAATCACTAGCAGACAATCTCATATTCCCTTAGGGCGCTTCTATACTGCAGGGCAAAAGTCGAATTAAGATATGCAACTTGAGCTATGTCAATTGCATAGCGGAAGTCAAAATAGCTTAATTCAGCTTTTGGAGCTGTTTACACTGCAGGAAGTTGAAGGAAGCACACGCTTCTTTCGACTTCCTTTACTCCTCGTGAAATGTGGATTACAGGGGTCAGAAGAAGAAGTCTTCCATCTTGACTTTATTTTGAAATAATGGCTTGCCGTGTAGCTGCTCATTGTTTTAATTCAAAATAACGTCAGTTATTCCAAAATAACACTGCTGTGTAGATGCACCATTAGTCAGTACATTAAAACACACAAAGACAGTGAGTGCACACACACGTATATATACTGGCACAAACATCTACAAAATCACGTGCTTAGATAAAGAACTGGATCCAAATTCCATTTACAATGTCAATACCTTGCAGGTGATTATATCCACCATGTTCAGAGCCTGTAAATTCATAATGTCCAAAGAGGCTCCAGAGAGAGGAGCGCTGACAACAGCCCCGTTCAGAGTGAATGTATTTATAAACAGCTGTTTTCCTCACTGGCTCTTTAAACCAGTAGGATTTAGTGTGCATAGGACAGAAATAAATGAATGCAAGAAAGTTCTTTATGATGGAGGGTTGCATTCCTTTAGTGCATTCCTAGGACCTGAGTACTTTGAACAGGTATATGTATCGCTTTTGCCATATGGTTTCTTCAGAAAGCTTCACAATGATTCAGGTTATTTCTTCTTAAGCAGATGTTTCTCTAGTAAATCATTTTTAAGGGCTCCTTCCTTGGACTTTCAAACAGAAAATCTCCTGACACCAGGTATAGCTTGGGCTAGATTTTCCCAGGGATCTGGTGTAGCCTCTTCTTTTGCACACGTAGTTGTTGGCTCTCTCCAACGATAGAATCTGCACACACACAAAGAAGTGTGCCCATCCCTGCACATGCAAATGCCTCTGTGTGCAAAAATAGAGGTCAAGTTGAAAAAGTCTTGAGGCTTTCTCATGGACATGTTGGTGTGTTAATAATACTGGCTAAAATGGGGAGTCAGGTACCTACTGTGCTAGAACCTGTCCTTGTGGTTGCATCATGGGCCTAGATGACAGGAGACCTGTGTTCTCAGCCAAATGCTGCTACAGATGCAGGGAGTAACCTTGCATGGCTCAATTTACTATTCAGTAAAATGGAGTTGGTGAAGATACCTTTGTATTTCAAACAGTTCTGATTAGACTGGTGGTGCTCAAGAATGACTCCTGGGCTATTGATGTTCATAACAAGCTTGGAGACTCTGGGCTGGAGATATGCAAAAAGAGTTTGACTTGTAATGAAAGAGATGCCGGGGCTCCGGAAATGTTTTTACTTTCATCACTAGCACAATAGGGCCAGAGGTGCTGGGGCTATGGACAGCCATGCCGAGAAGTGCCAAGGCTCAGCCCTGGCAAACCCTGGCACACATTAAGTACTGTGTTATTCATCTTATGTCTCCATAATACAATACCACTGAGAGGAAGGCCTCCTGTGCCTGCTTTAAAGTGTGTGAATCAGTGTCTATGAAAGCAGAAGAAATGGGATGACATGTTTGAAAATATCAGATCTGTGGAGGATGAAACTGCAGAGCCAGGCACTCTGAAAGTTTCATGCAGCACAGAGATGTCTCTGGGAAGGTTATGAATGGCAAACTGATTGCTTCTCTAGCTCAGCCCCTTTTTGCACAGATGTAAATGAGTGTGTGTCCTAGTTTGCTGTATTCTCCGGGCAGCCGCCACTAGAGTTAACACAGAAGCCTGCGGTTAATTAGCAAAGAGCTCATCCTTATGAAACAGATCAAGGGCAGAGTCTCCAGGGACCTGTGGTGAAGCTGCAGACCCCTGAGAGATGAGGGGAGAAGCCAGAACTCAGACAAGAAGGGAAATTTTGTCTGTTTCCAAATTCTCAGATATTCTGGATTTGCCTGGGAGCCATAAGTGGAGTTAGAAGGGGTTTTTAGTAACCAGAAAGCAGTGCATTTTCATGCTCAATTTTTCTTCCTCTTGGTGCAGTCTCTGGAGCTTTCCTATACTCTTTTGCATCCCTCCCCTCTCCGAAACCCCCCCCCACAAATTGGATGTTTGAAGTTGCAGTGTTTCCTGATCATGGTGAATCCTTGTCCTGTTTTGTTTGTAAATGACCTTGCTACTGTATATTTTGTTTCTCAGCCTACATACCCGGCTTTGAAATGTTTGTATCTGGGGTGAGCTCACTGCTTCTACAGTTCCAGTCCCTCCCTGCAGGAGTGGCTATAGGGAATAGAATTGGAGAGTTCATGGCTGCTTTCCGTCCCCGCAGCAATCGCCACAGGCTTGCTGGTTGTGGGGCAGCTCACAGCTATTTCCAGACTCAGATGTTCCCAGCAGGAGCTGCTGTAGGGAATACGGTAAGAGCTTCAACGGAGCTCCAAACTGCAGCAGTGCCAGACTCAGTAGCACCCAGAGTCACTGTAGGGGAATGCTACAGGCACACAGTGGAGGCTCTCAAGGCCAGCTTCTCCATCTGGAGTCAGTGCTGGGGTCTCTTTGAGAAGCCTGTGTTGCCCTGCAACTGGGGTTTGGAACAATATTTTTATTTGGCCACCTGGCCAGCAGATGACATGGAGATGGGTTTCCACAGAGAAGTGTGCAGGCAGCTGCTGGCACCCTCCTAATAGGACAGGGAGCAATGCCAAAGCCTTGCCAGGTAAATGGAAATAAACATGTCATCACCTTCTTGTTTCTTCTGTCACTTTCTGGCTTGCATGTGGTGCTCCCAGGCCTGTTCTCACAAGGGCAGTCTGCCACCGCTTCCTGATCCAACAGCAGGGTTTAACAGAAAATGTTCTCTCCTTTCAGGACAGAGAACTGCGGCCAGAAGAAATCGAAGGTAAGGCTATGACCCTTCTCCATGTCTCCCTTTCTCTCTGCTCAGGGCCAGACTGATTGCAAAGGAGGGGAGGGGTGAAATCTGGGGTGAGAAAAGGTAGACTCCCGGAGTAGACCTGATAGGGAATGGTGCAGTCGTGCCGGCACTAGGGCAGCTCACATACCATCTACAGAGGGAACGTGCCCCTTCCTGGAGAACATCTCTGAAATCCTCCTAGCATCCTGGACTGCTGGTGAGGGTGTTCTGGGAACGGTGCCCAATGCCATCACTGACAGCAGTGTCCTTTCTGCAGAGTTGAGAGAAGCCTTTAAGGAGTTCGATAAAGACAAGGACGGGTTTATCAACTGCAGGGACCTGGGAAACTGCATGCGGACCATGGGCTACATGCCGACCGAGATGGAGCTCATCGAACTATCCCAGCAAATCAACATGAACTGTGAGTGAGCTCCCTCCCCTGCCACTGCCATGCTCTGGCTCCATGCTTTGGGCTTTAGCTGCCAGTCCTTTGCTCTCGTCTGTTCCTCCTTTCCTCTACCTTTGTTCTCCTGGCTGCCTGTCACCCCACCTCTCTGCTGTCTGTTTGCCTGGTTCTTCTGGCATCAGTCAGTTCACTTGTCTCCAGCCTATCTGGGTTTGTAGATAAAGAGGAAGGTGTTGAGACAGACACACCAACATGGCACTGCCCTTGGTATGTGCATGGTCCAGCGTTGCCTGGTGATATGGGTGTGTAAGACATTAGTGTGCAGCTGCTGCCAGGTCTCTAGGCGGTGTGTGCAGAGGAGGGAGCCTGGGAGGTGAGAGGAAGGAAGTTTTTTGGTGTGAGGAGGGTGCTATGTTGCATCAGCATGCTGGGGTGTTCAGTCTGAGGCGTGAGTGTTTGGAGGAAATAGCTCTGGATGAGTAGCGATGCGCTATGGGGCTACTCTGTCCATCTGGTCTCACATGACAGGCAGAATAATGGGGCAGTGTGTTCTCAAACAAGTCTTTGATAGGATGTGGCTGCATGTGCGCCTTTTCCTTCTGTTGTCAATTCTCTGCCCTTACACCTGTCGGCAGCAGTGCAGTGTGGTGCCTGCCGGGGCATTCTTTGTTGCACTTTCTGGGCTAGAGAGGGTTAATCATCCAGTGAGGAAGCGGGATGGGAGAGTAACACATCACAAACAGCAGATAACCAGGGCCCAGATTGCCATGTGAGCCAGAGACTATATAATTAGATCAAGCTGGTGATCTGACCGAAGGGTAGGAATCTGAGGAACTTTTCACCAATGGCAGCTACTTCATAATCAGGGAAACGAATGAGTTTGTGAGATGCACTTGTCCAGAGGAGGTGTTGAGCTTCTGGGACAGATTTTCTCCTCTGCTGTGGAATAGGGCCCATGCTGGAGATGCAATTGGCTGAAGCAGAATTCCCTTGGTTCTGAAACACCAGCACAGGGCTGCCCTGTGCTCACCCCCTCCCAAGCCCTGAGGTGTGGTGTCTGCTCGGAGCAAACCCATGACACAGTGCTGCGGGGATTCTGGGCTGCTTGCCTGGGGTGGGCTGCTGTAATTTAGAAGCGCTGGGACCCTTTCAGCACAGTCCGCAATCCAGAGGGTGCAAAGATGGTGTAAAGCCACCTTGGTTTCTCCTCTCCCTGAACTCCTTTAGAGTCAGACCCTGACCCTCCCATAGGTGGCTGGTTTCCAGTGGAAGCGTGTATGGATGTATTACCCTGGGTGCTTGGCTGGGCTGAGGCAGAAGGGCTTATTAATGTCATACCCACACATTTCCCCTTGGTCCCTAGTGGGCGGCCATGTGGATTTTGAAGATTTTGTGGAGTTGATGGGACCAAAGCTTTTGGCGGAAACTGCAGACATGATTGGTGTAAAGGAGCTCCGTGATGCCTTCAGAGAGGTGAGCACTCTTACCCCCCCTCAAACCCATGCTGCACGACCCCCTTCAGAGAGGTGAATGTCCCTTGTTCCGCCTCACCCCCATTGAGAAGTGAGGACCCATTCTCAAATAGTGAATGTGGAGATAAGGGGAGAGCAAAGGCAGGAAAGAGAAAAGACGAGTGGGAGGAGGAGGAGGAGTGAGTAAAGGGGACCCTGGGAAGGAAAGAAGAGAAATCTTGTCTGGAAAGGAAGGGAGCACAAAGACAGAAACAGAGAGAAACAAGGCCCAAAAGAAAACAAAGAGGGAAGATGGGCCACATGTGCCAAATGGGTCTGCCCAGAGAGGAAAAGGACCTGAGGGAACAGACTGGCACAGGGAGCAGGAGGAGAGAAGAGGCCCAAGGGAGGAGAAGGAGCCAAGAGGGGACTCGGGACATCCTGGATATATATGTACTCTGGGAGGAAGCCGTGGGATTCAAGTCTGGAAACAGCAGGTACCCAAGGAAGTAGGTCAGGCTCTGCTTTAGCTGACTGCTCTTTCCGCTGTGGTTTATGGCCTCCCTGCAGTTTGACACCAACGGCGATGGAGAGATCAGCACCAGTGAGCTGCGGGAAGCCATGAAGAAGTTGCTGGGGCAGCAGGTGGGCCATCGGGATATTGAAGAGATCATCCGAGATGTGGACCTGAACGGGGATGGGCGAGTGGATTTTGAAGGTAAGAGAGAATGCACCATTGTCCTTCTCCACTGGGGCCAGGCCAGATTTCGGCTCAGAAGCTGGGTCATTGCCAGGGCGGGTGTGCCAAATGATAAACTGCCCTGGCTCATCGGTTCTTGTAACTCATTGCATAAACTTTCCACAGTCAGTAAAGAAACTAAACCAGTGAGCTGTGTGGGAGGGGATTTCTAGTTGTTCTCAGTGCTGCTGGATGACGAGAGGTGAGATGTGGATGTGTTGGTGCATTTGGTGTATTTGCCTCTAGCAAAAGAGAAGACTGAGGGGGGGGACATGGTAGCCGTTTTTAGGTATCTAAAAGGGTGTCATAAGGAAGAGGGAGAAAACTTGTTCATCTTGGCCTCTGGGGATAGAACAAGAAGCAATGGGCTTAAACTGCAGCAAGGGAGGTTTAGATTGGACATTAGGAAAAAGTTCCTAACTGTCAGGGTGGTCAAATATTGGAATAAATTGCCCAGGGAGGTTGTGGAATCCCCATCTCTGGAGATATTTAAGAGTAGGTTAGATAAATGTCTGTCAGGGATGGTCTAAACAGTATTTGGTCCTGCCATGGGGGCAGGGGACTGGACTTGATGACCTCTCGAGGTCCCTTCCAATCCTAGTAGTCTATGATTCTATGCTTTCTGTTTGTTAATGGCTGCAGAGTTTGTTAGGATGATGTCCCGCTGAAGACTACACTTATCTAAAGAGGAACCAGCACCTCAGTGAAGGCAGAAGAGGACCTGAGTGGAGCATCTAGCCCCAATGTTCCCGTGCAAAGGTTTATAGGCTGGATGCATTTGAGGCACTGCAAGATGACCCACCTCTCTTATCCCAAAGTGGTCCCTGCAACCTTCCACACTGTGAAAGACTCACAACTTCCTATAACTGGAACTGTTCCTCAGAGTTGGCGACAGCAGGAAACTGCAGCCAGGACAAACCACAATGTTTTCACAAGACGTTTGCAACTTTAGACTCCTTCTCTCCTGCTTTTATTCTCCCACCTACTGCTGCAAAGCAAGAGAAGGAGAGACCCTCCTGGACTGGAGGGTGAGAGCAAAGCCATCTGGGACTGGTGGTTGCAGCAGGTCACACTCTATCGGATTCCTTTGGTGAACTGTGTCTGTGTTTGCTGTGTGTCTGTCAGGAGTTATTTATACCTTCCTGGTACATTCTCATGTCTCCTGTGGTTATGTTTACCAAGAGCAACTACAAATACATGTTTGGGAAAAAAAAGTGATAAATGTGTAAATTGAAGCCATGTGCAGTCCTGGCCTTTCTGGGGGAGTGAAGGGTGGGCTGGAGAGAGGAGCATCTGCCAACCAACCCACTCCAACCAGTTTACTTTGGGATTCCTGGGGGGATGAGCTGGAACCAGGGGAGGCAGATGCTGCTTGTTACAGGATTCATGACTGGGTGCTGTTCAGCATGAGTGATACCTGCAGCCATTCTAGACCCAGGCAGCGAAATACCAACACAAGGTACACATACTGCGTATTTGGTCTAGGGCAGAGATGGGCAATGAAGACTAGTGAGTGGGCTGCATGAGTGGCCCTCCTCCATCTCAGTGGGCCACAGCAGTCCACGGCCTACTGGGGTTCCACTTGCAGCCCCGCAGCTTCATTGTCTGCCCCCCTTCCCCATGTGCTTCACATGCATTGGGGCCTGCACTTACCTGCTCCTCCCCCTTCCTCCCAGCACTTTCAGAGCACGCAAATCATCGGATCCCTGCTCCTCTCCCTCCATTCCAGAGCTGGAACGTCAGGAACAGCTAATTTGTGGCATTCCAGATCTGGGAGGGAGGGAAGGAATGGGGACAAAGCGTGAATCAGGTGAGTCACAGCTCCTCCGAAAGTGCTGGGAAGGAGGGGGGAGGCTTAGGAAGTTCCAGGCTCCAGTATCCCAGTTCATCAAAGGCTCCTCTTATCCCATTTCCAGGCAGTACTGGCTGCTTGCTGGGTGGCTGGGGAGTGTGGGCAGGTGTTGGATGATTATGTGTTACCTCTACTGCCCATCCACATGGTCCCCCTCTTACTCTTCTCTCCCCACTGTGCCCCTTCACCCTCTTACTCGCATTGCTCCTTCATACCCCCCATGGCAGGGTGCATTCTGCTCCAAGCACTGTATGGAAAATTAGCCCATTCAGCTCACCAACAGCCAGGCTGGCAGGCTCCTTCCTCCCCCTGCTGCCTCTGTCTGAGCCGGCACCTGGGGAAAGCTCAATCCCTCTGCCCCAGAGCACTGCCAGGAGGAGCCAAGCCCCACATGTGCCAAAGCCCTGCACAACACTGGCACGGGGAAGCTTCTCCACCCCTCAGCAAGGCTCTGGAGTGGCCATAGGGAGAAAGCTGTTTGCAATCTGTTTGGGCCCAACCCCTGCAGGCTCCGCAGCACTCCCCAGGCAAAGGATTAGCATGGTCTTCACATGTTGCCCCTGTCCTAGGTCTTGCCCCCAGGCAGTGTGGTGCTACTCTGTTCCCTAGGCACCTCCCCTGCTAAGTCACCTCTCTGGCTGGGTTCGTTGAAGCCCCTGCAGTCAGGATCCCTGGGCCTTGGTGCACAAGGCATTGTTAGGGCATAACTCCTTTCAGCCTGCGCTGTAGCTGGGGAAACAGGAGGCAGCTGTGTTGTCAGTGGCCAGCATCGGATGAGCTGCCTCCAGCCACAGGGAGGTGCGGTAGGTGGGCAGGAGGGAAGAGATGATCTCTGCAGACATGGGCCAAATCATTACTTCCCCCACCTCAGACCCCTCTGGCTGGAAGCAGCTCCTGTCCCTTCCCTCCTGCATAGTGCTGAAAGGCTGCTGCTGGCTAGGTTCTGGTGAGATCCCCTCAGAGAAATCTGGGGAGGAGACAGGGCTATGAGACTACATGACCCCACATGTTGCCCGGAGAAGACATGGTACCAGGTACCAGAAGAGGCGAATCCATCCTGGGGGCCCAGCTGGGCATGGCAGATAAAGAACACTGGGTAGGGAGGATTGGGCTAGGTTGGTCGGCCACCCCGTATCCCTGTATGAGAGAAATACATGGGAGCGTGTGTTGCCTCTCCCCATGCAAACCTCAAAGAACATAAAAAAACTCCAGCTAACTAACTGGTTAACAGCCTCTTGAAATGCTGCCTGTAGGGTGGTCCTTATGGAAATTCATGTATCAGAAACTGTAACCTAAGGGTTAATTTTTTAATTGTAAAAAATGCTTAATCGTAACCTAGGGGTTAATTTTAAAAAAAATTAACCAACATGTATAATAAAGGTGCATCCCTTCAATGCTCTGGGCTCCCTTGTCCATTTATAGGCCAAGCCAGGTGAAATCTAACACTCAGCCCTTTTGCATTTTCCTGTCTCCATGCAGCACTGCTGTTTTGAAACATCATGGCTATGTCTACACACCCCTCCCTCTTGCTGTCTCTTTCTGATAGAGGCAAGAAGGGGGGGGGGGGGGGGGGGGGGAAGGAAGGTGAATGCCAGTGAGTTAATGATATTAGAGGTGGGGAAGGGGAAAATGTAGACGCGCTTTTCCGGAAAAAAGCCCCGATCGTCATTTTCACGATTGGGGCTTTTTTTCCAAAAAGACTACTGGGATGTCTACACTGGCCCTTTTCCGGAACAGTTTTTCCGGAAAAGGACTTTTGCCCAAACGGGAGCAGCATAGTTTTCCAGAAAAACACTGACAATTTTACAGTAGATTGTCATTGCTTTTCTGGAAAAGCAAGCGGCCAGTGTAGACAGCTGGCAAGTTATTCCAGAAAAGCGCCTGCTTTTCCGGAATAAGTGGCCCAGTGTAGACACAGCCCAAGTGTAGCCCAGGCCAGCCGGGGGCTGCATGTGGCGTTTCAAAGTGGCAGCATCTCCGTGGAGCTCAGGGTCTGGCTCCGGGCTCCACGTGGTGCTGCTTCTTTGAAGCACCCCATCTCTTCTCCCTCCTTGATGCCTCCTTCTGATAGAGGCAGCAAGGGTGGGGGGAGTGACTAGTTGACTAGTGTGTTGACTATCTGATAAGCATTTGCTTATCGGATAGTTGACTAGTTGTTCACATCCCTACTACTATTTCTTTTTAACAGGGGCTCAGTTAACTTGATGTTAATTTTAACGTTTGTACTGCATAGTTCTGATTGATTGCTGCTGAACTCACTTGAATATGAGTAACTTTACCAGGTGTCCCATATGCAGCATACAGAAATATGGTCACCATAGTTCAAGGGGCATCATTCCCACTCCCTGTATTTCTCACAGCCTGCTAGGAGTATCTCCTTCTCCTTGACTGTCCCACTTCCCAGGGGAGGGGCCAAGCACAAGAACTTCCTGTTAACCCACTGTAGCTATTTCTCTTCATTCCCCTTAGATTATCAGAATCCAGAACGCTGCCTGTCCCAAAGGGGCAATGCTCTGAATGGGGTGGATTTTCTTTTGTTTGTTGCTGTGCCAATTAATCTGGCTGTAATTGACATGACATCAGTGGGGGCGTGTGTGGAGAGGATTGTGAGTGTGTATGTGTGTGTGCAGGGAATGCATGAGAGTGGGCACATGGCTGTTTGCATGAGAGATATCTGGGTGTGCATGTACAATACTACTTTAGCTATGTGGGTATGCCCACCAGTAGTGAAAGGAAAGTGTATGGATAAGTAATTGCACATGATGCTCAAGTAAGCATGCAGACCTGTGGTATGTGTGTGCAGATGGTGTCTGAGGGTTGTGCATAGATACACTCGTGATGCGCACAGTACAATGGGAGTGTATGCATGCATGCAACTGGAGTGTCTGTATAGTCACGTCCCTATGCTTTGGGAATGTATGGGCATGCAAGCCCTGTGTGTATGTGCAATGGGGATGCATGAAGTGATGCAACAGTGTATATGTGTGAGTGATGGGCATGGGTGGCCTATGTATGTGTGTGATGAGAATGTTTGCACAGGTGTTAAGTGATAGAAGCTTGCATGTATGTGTGATAATAGTAAGCATGTATGCACACAGCATACTGAGCAATAGGAACATTGCAGGAATGAGTTCACATGTGTGTGGCCACTGAGTGAATGGATAAAGTAGTCAGAGTAATTGTCTCTTTAGCTGCCTGCTTGCTGTCTGGCCCTGCACAGAGGCTTCTCTGCTTGCAGCAACAGATGGAGGGACACTGTCTTAATTTATTTAAAAACATAAGCCCATTCATGGAGGTTGCCCAGAGTCCAAATTGCATAGAATTCTCCAGAATGTATAATCTCGCTCACTGGGCACATTCTTTGCTCATTATTGCTGCTGGGGATTTACAAATAATCACATATGCTTAGAATAACTCTGCCAAAGCATCCTCCTGTGGGATGAAGGTGCGTGCAGTGCATGTGCTGTAGGGAAGGGTGGTCTGAGAGATGAAAGAAAAGGGAGGCACCTTTCCTGTCTGGTGACGGCAGAGATTGGGGATTTTCTCACTCTGATCTGGGGTTGTCCAGAAGTAAAGAATATAATAAAAACCAGTTTCACTGGGGAGCTTGAGTCCAGCTCTGCTATATATCGGGGTAGAGCATGGAGAGGCTCTAGCTGAGCTAGAGTAGACATAAAAGCCCAAAGCATCTGTTGAGGACAAAGTCTTGGCATTTCCCATAAATCCTCTAGCTTCTCACTGCAGGATCAACCCTATGATAGGTCAGAGAAGGCCTGTCAGGATGCACACAGTGATTGCTGTTGGTTCCACTTCCAGCAGAAACTCTTCCCTCAGGGCTGGTTTTATTTGCCCGTGTATCCTCGGATAATCCCTGCAAGTTTTGCTATTTTTTTGTGCTGACAGGGTCAGAGATTAAATCTTCAATCTAATAATCTCATTCCAGGGATAATCCTTTTGCTTTCATCTCCCAGCCAGTGCCAGGAAGGCTTCCAAATAACCCTGCAGAACAATATGAAATAAGGAAGACTCTGTCCATATCCCTTCTTTCTCTCATGTTGTAGTCCTGTGCTCATCAGCACGAACCCCAAGGCCTAGGACTTCTGTCTCCAAGTGTTTTTGTGCTTAGCTGAATGCGACCTTGTTGTGTCTCTAGATAGCCCCAGTCCTCTTTCAGTCTATCATGTTCACTGAGCCCTGGTTCTGCCTCCCATTGATGTGTCTCTATTATTTGTTTTTAGCCACCCAGACTATTGATAATTCCAGTGGATAATACATCCTGTAACCTCCCACCACAGTAAATGACTGGTGCCTTTAGAGGACTAACTGAAGGCACCATCCATGCAGAATAAATGTAGGTCCAGCTCATGAACTCATGTAATTTCAGTGCAGCTTTCAGAGGATGGTGATAACCTGAGGGATTGGAAAGAAGACACTGGGCCTTTCATTTTTAGGTTACTACGTTAAAACCAGCGTAGGTCAGGGGACTGAATGGTTCAGTAGACTAGTAATAGGACACAGAGCCATTTGTGTCTATGGCATCAGTTCCCATCTAAATTGCTAGCATCTGGATGTTACAGACAACTTCAGTGACCTATCACAGGTGGGGA